GCTGTATTGAATATCCTGTCAAAGACGAGATATACATCCCCATCCTTAGGCGCTGTTGTACGATTTCTTTGAAACCTCTACATAGTGGGCTAGCTACATGCACCTCCGACAGTCCTGCTTCTCCACGACAGCTGTACGTGGGGAGCTCAACAGTTGGAGACGCCCAGGAATCTCTACACATTTGACACAGAGAATACGACGAAAAACATTGTTTATCAAGAGGCTTTGAAATGAAAAGTGCAACCCATTCGTACATGCTGTTTATAATACTTTTTGTCATTTACACCATATTACTATTATGTCCAGGGTTCTAAGTTGGGTTGTGCTGTCAAATAAATGTCATACGTAACAGTTTTTTACCAAACTTATTATCTTATTAGACTGATTTGTAAATATTGATATTGTGTGCAATGTTATTCTCCATTTTTAGTCATCTGACATAGTCAGATGCAGCTGTAGAATCGCGACGATCGTCGTCCGTCCGTCCCGGCCGAGCGTCCGTCAACAGTTGGGCACAAATCTTAACCGCTCGACGTACGGTCACGATATTCGGCACATTGGGGGATCGTCAAAACGAGTTGGGCTGTCGAAGCTGGGGGTCAAAGGTCAAAGGTCAAGAGGTGTAAAAGAAGGGGGAACATTCACTCCTTAACTTAAGGTATAGGAGGAAATGCAGAATTGCGGCACAAATCTAAACGGCTCGACCTAGGCTCGTGATAGTCGGTGTATAGCATCATGGTAGGAAAAGCCATCACTGTGCCGAAATTGGAGGTCACAGGTCAAAGGTCAAGGGCACAGGGCAGATTTTAGACATTTTCTTGAGGACATGGTCTGACGGAGCGATTGAAAAACTTTTTGTTTCAGCGTGACCTAGCATTTTTATGGCATTATTGAAAGGACCATGAAATCTACTTTCTGCTGACATGCGAAGAGTAAGTGTCAGATAACCTTTTGACCCTCAAGAGGAGGGTTAAACATGGATTTGTTGACTGTCTGTTTAGAAAGAATTTGACTGCCGGGTTTGCTAGTAGAATCTATACATGCCTGGATGTACGAGGGTACAATGTCACAGTGAAATTTCAAAAGCTAAATTTGGTTAAAGAAGGTTTATGCTCCTTAAATCATATAATTTATATGGCATTCTGTACTGTCAGTATGTTCATGTAACGTATGCCACTGCAGTGGCATACTGCCAGTGCATGTGTTGGTGGTACTGTGGAGTTTTGCCTTAATTGGTTACAGGTGGCAGCTCTCTATTGCACAGCCTGTAGGCTGCGTAGATAAATGATGAGTGCTTACCTATTCTGTCTTGCAGATAGTGTTGCTACTACGTATGATGGGAGCTTCCATCTTTAATCTGAAGACACTTAAACGTACGCGCCATCTCGTGGCAACTTTCTAACGATCCCAACGAACATTCTTTGAGAAGGTTCCTGATACCATCCCTGTGCATTCCACTGTTTCGGCGTGTATGTGAACACATTGGGACTAACAGGGTTTACTAGAATCCACCACTCCACCACAGAGTCACCGCAGTAGACGTTAGATGAGCGCTGTCGCTTTGCGGCACTTGTTACCAATGTTCCTCTTGTGTTCGATTATTAGTAGTATGAATTAGTAGCACGATTTTGCAGTGCAGCGGGTACCAGCAGCGCTAGATATTAAATAAAGGGTGTGTAGAGTAAATTACCCACCACTGCCAGAGTGACAGTTGGTGGATCATTGAAGTAGACTATGAAGGCAAACTTTTAGAGCAATAAAAAAAACGATATACCCAATTGCAAGGTTCAAGTAAAAAAGCCATCTTTTCTGCCAGACTATATAATGAAATGACTTAATTCTAAAATTAGATCCGGTGTATCCGGCTGTATATTTATTTCTATTCGTTTCAATTGTAATAATAACTGTGAGCATTACCATTTCTCCTGCACTTATTCCTTCTTTTTTCTATGAAACTTCTGTGAGTACTTCTTCACACTACAGTCTACATCAGTACCCCAAAGCAGTAAACCAAGTAATTGCAGTGGTGTTGAGGCTTCGTTACCTCCTATTTATGCACCTGACTCTGGTTGTGAAATATCTGCTAGCAGGTTGAATTATAGTAGATTGAGAGTTTTTTTTTAATGGGTCTATTCTTGTCATTTCTCCCTTCTATTCAGGTTGTTGTCAAGAAGGTGCCAAACAAGTTTATAATGGTGTCTTCAGAAGTAAACGAATGGGAACATACCATACGGCGACACCTTCACTATTTCTTCGCTTTTCTGCATTACTAGCATTTCTAAACAAACGGAGGCCATATCGTAGTCACGTGGAACATAACTACGTAAAGAGCACATTCGGGTTCATAAAATGCAAGTATACCTAGCAATCCGTGAGAATATTTAGGAAGGTTATTTCACATAGGAGTGGTTTATATATTTAATTATAAATTATAGATATTCATTGATTATGTTTTTTGGCACTTCAGCATATTATCAGATGAAAAGTGCAGGTAGTTATGTTATGTGATAATGTATTATTAACATGTGATATTGTTTTACTTTGTTAGCATTGATCGAAAAGAACACAGATGCTGGATTGTTAGATCATTACAAAAGTCTAGGTGCGCCTGTCATCAAATATTTATGAATTAAACAAATTTCAAAAGTAGCATTTAATAGCTGATGGTGTAGAATTAGTGCACACACTGATTATTTATTTGTATTGATTATCAAAAGAACTATATATACGTGCCTGTCACGTGCTGGATTTAGTAGTTTATTTGTGTCACCAAGTGTTCAGTCCGCAAGGCACGGGGTCCAGGTGGTTGTAGGGTGTTCCAATTACAGGCATCATCACCGCTCCCTCCACAGAACCAGATTTTAAACATCTCTCAGAACAAGAAGCAACTGATCCAAATTATTTGTGAGGACTTTAAAGGTGACATGGATGTACTGGGAGGCCATCCCCACACGTTAGTCATTACTGGCCAAGATGAAGTGCCTGTAGCGTTTTCTCCATACGGCTTAGTAATTCAGAGAACAGACCTCAAGACAGACCATGAAGAAGCAGACACAATCGTCACAGCACAGGCGATATATGCAGCACAAGAAGAGAAGAAGAAAGTCATTGTTGAGGCAGATGACACAGATGTGTACGTTCTGTTGCTGTACCATTACCTCGATAGAGGGCTTAACATCCCTATGATAATGCAGCCACCAAGGAAAGGCAGAGCTGTTGTGGATATTAGTGCTACAGTGATAAAGCTTTCCAGTATCATTCCCGACATGTTACCAGCCCATGCCCTGACAGGTTGCGGCACTGTTGCCATGTGCCACGGGATCGGAAAGGGCAAGATGTTGAAAACTCTTTGAGGAGGGAAATGCAGCTTGAGGCTCCTTGGGAATCAGACTGCTGACTTTGATGATGTGTTGCTCCAGTCCACAGCTTTTGTCTCAGCATGCTACAACATGCATGATGCAACATCCATGACTGAGTCAAGCATTAAAGCTTTGAAAACAAAGACAGGTAGAAAAGGAGCAATCGGTACACCGAAGCTGTGCACTCTGCCACCCACCAATGAAGCATTCTAAGAAAATGTCAAAAGAACACACTATCAGTGCTGCATCTGGAGACATGCCCTACAAGAGCCTCCAGACCTTGATCCCACAGAATATGGCTGGGTAAGGGATGAGGAAACTAAGTCCCTACAGCCTGTCACTCTCCTAGTTACGACTCCCCCAGCACCAGATTACATACTCAAGCTCATCAAGTGTTCTTGTTCTTCGGAGAGTCCATGCACGTCCAAGGGCTGTGGTTGTAACATTGGTAGGCTGGCGTGTACAGCGTTTTGCAATTGTCAGGGCAGTGCTGCATGTTGTAATGAACAAACTAGAGTCGTCCAACACGAAGCCTTTGATGACGAGGAAGAGGAGGAGGACGATTAAAGCCAACTGATTTTGTTTTGAAATTGTACCAGAAAATGTAAATTGTAGGTAACCTATAAAACTCATTTTTGTGGATTTTGCGTGTTTAACATAAGGGAAGGTTTTGCGGTAAATAAAAACCAATTTTTATGCCTAATCACAGACGTTTATGCTTGTATTAGTCTACAACTATTTCAAAATGTCAAATGCATCTGTAAATGATGGTATAATATAATTTTTACATGCATTGGCATCTCATTATTGGACACTAAGCTTTATTTAATCCAAATTCAATTGTTTATGATGCGGTTTTGGATAAATCTACATTAAATAAAATTCCCCACAACTGAGCAACTGCCAGTTGTTAGAAATGCCTTATTTGGTGCAAGAACATAAGAAAACGAACGTAAGAAAAACTATATACCTCCATGCAAACCATATGCCCTATTCTGCCGGACTAATATACCTGGTTATCTTTTGTGTGGGCAATCTTGTCACCAAGTGTGGTTTTTACAGGAAGGTTATAGGTAAGGGTTCGATGCTGCTTTCCATCTTCTTGCAGCATCCATTCTTCAATGTCAATATCTTTAATACAATAACAACAACAAATAATTCAACTTACACATAGGGCTACCAAGCTATAAATATATGAGTAAAGATACATTTAGCATCAAACTTTATTGAAATAACAAGATCTGACATAAATTTTGTCTGCTCATAATGTTCATAAATGATTTCAAAACATGCTCAAATAAATTTCATAAACAGTCAAACAACTCTCACAGGTAGTGTTCACAGTGGGCGTTTCTTAAATAGCAGGTATATAAGACAGCACTTAAGACAAGAGAGCAACTCCTATGATGGTAAATTCAGCGTATTTTTGAGAGTTCCCCACCAGTCCACCTTTGTAGATATAGAGAAAATTATAAGGGTTTGGTCATACCATTCTGTGCCAGTGGACATGGTAAGCCCAGGCACATGAAGAACCTGCATGGTTACTAGTGTACGGGTGATAAAAATCAAAGCAATTTAATCTCATGTACTTATAGTGACAACCAATATATACAAAAATGCCTTGCAGTGTGATTAAAGGTACAATTCGGATTAAATGAAGGATAACTTTGGAATGAAGTAATATTCGAATAGCTTTTTTTACGCTGTCCTTGCAATTCACTGTACTCGCAATTTGTACTTGCAATTCACTGTACTTGCAATTTACTGCTGTCTCGCCAATTTTGCAATTTTGCCGCCACCTACACTTATAATTATAAGTTTCTTGACCTTACTAAAAAAAATATATATTAAATATCACGCACTGCTATATGCGTCGCTAATGTCCGTGCGCTATAAATAATAATAATGGGTAATTACAAAATATACCGTATATATAATAACTACTACTGAATACGCGAACGAGCGCTATCAGTTGTTACACAATAATAATATTGTTTAGTCATGTATCACAAATTAATACACTGTACTTATCACTCTCCTATCTATGTCCCCCGTATTAATGCGTATCGAGAATTACCAAAAAAATTATATAAGTTAGTTTGTTTTTTATATTAAATTAGTTTTATACCAATCTAACGTAGCCTTCTTCGCGGCAATGGCTGCATGTCCAGCCAGCGCGCTGTTGCCAACGTATTGCCTAGTCCGGCCGGATTGCTTGACAATAGCGCCCTAGCACCCTCCGCATCTGCTGCTGGAGATTGCGCGCCGATTGACAGTTTTGCAAGCAAATAAACTATCAGTTGACAACGCTTAGTGCGGGTGATCTCGCTTTGTGTTAACAGCTGCGCATCGCATGGTCGTCACTCGCATCAAAGCAGCAGCGTCAGTCATATCGCGACTGTCACTAAGTGCACCGACGCTGCTCGGCCGCCCGCCATCGGTCAGCGTTAGAATTTCACCACTAACCGTGAGAACGAGTCAGCTCGTGTCTCGTGACATGTTATCATAGCATCGTGAAGTTTGTCGCAGTATTAAAACCAATTATTGCGCTGCTGTGATTGCGAACTGGCGAAACGATCTATCCGATGAATAGGGGCAATACATAAAAAGGTTTCACTTCAAGTTTATTTCGTCACGATTATCTAGAAAACATTCTACATTTTCGTACGAAATCGCTGCAGTATCGATGTCAACGACGAACTCGCATATTCACGGGCCGCGTCCGTGATAACGCATGATCATATAAGCATGCAGTCAACACTCTGGTGGGCCGGAATTGATTTCCTCTCTAGTTTCTAAAGTGGTATATTAGCGTAATAAGTTAGTGGCTCTTTCAAGCTGTAGCCGATTAGTAAGTGAGATCGTATCGCAGTAGGCGTTAAATTCATTGCCAGCACCGCTAGTCTGCGCCATCCATACATAGGGTTCGACCGCTGTTTTTGTTTGCGACAGCGTTGTACTCTCGCAGCACTTAGGTGGTGTCTGCAAGGCGTTGTCGCATAGCGGCTTCACCTATCAAGCAGCGGTGTGCAATGGTACAGCTCTGACGTCTATGGATTAGCTAGACTAATTTATTTAAAATAGAACGCATAACTGAGGGGAATGAAATGAGGGAAAATGAAATGCTGTGTATAATGATATAATGTGTATCAATCGAAATACTCTTCAAGTCGATTGGTTTGTACGCATTGCGAACAGCGACAAGCTATTGGCAGTAGAGCCAGACGGCTTATTTCGGAAAGAAGAAACCCGAAATAAACATAAAACTATCGTAGAAGTTTCACAATGAAATTGACAAAAAACGGACACCACGAATAGGTCGCGGCACGAGCTGACGCATATAGCTGCGTGCTTTCGATCAGGCGAAATCATACATAGTGAAAACAGAAGTACATAAATAGAGATTAGAAACCTCCTTATTTTTGAACTCCTGGTGAAAGTAGTCCGCAGATTTCCACGTACATCGCTACCAGAATGTTGATAGTATTACCACTAAACGCAGCCATTTGAGAGAGGTAATTAACGATCTATACAACACAGCCAGATATAATCCTAGAATTAAATACGTACTATTCTATCTATTTATTGTAATATGTGCAAGAACCGCCTCGTTGTATAGGTTAACGGTGACACACACGTGTTTAAACAGCTGTACCAGAGAGCTAGCCTCTGGTAACCGGGAATGAGGCTGGTAAATAGCTTACACAGAGAAAGGCACATATGGATTGATCTGTAGACATTTAAAAACTACTCAGCGTTACCTCGATCCACTTAAATTAATTTAGACACAATGTTATATTCCTAACACCAGGATCTATTATTATTCACTCCTGCTAGCACGTATATAAGTCCAAATGAGCATCATACGGTCTACTGGAATAATGATGTCACAGATCCCTACATCTGCTGTCAAACATACAATTCGCTAGTAGACTATCATCTGAATGAAATTCTGAGTAACCCGCGGCTATTATAAAAGCACTAATTATCGCTGGCGAGTAAAAAACACCTAGTTCAGTCATTTTGAAACAATACATTACAAAATTATAATATAGCTTGATTACCATTGTGCCCCTGTCAATTATATTATGTAAATGATATATTCTCGTACATTTGCTCATCGTAGTTTTTCTATTAGCGCCTGTAAATAATTTGTACCAATAATTTGTCTAAGCTTGTTTTGACGTGTTTCTTCTCCCTATGATATCTCTGATATCATTTCTGTGTACGCATGTGGCATTCATATAGGCGCCGCAAACATAACAAATACATTACACAAAACCGGTGCATAAATAAGCTGGCTGGCTATTAAATGTAACCCCTTCTGCCTTGCCTGCAGCGAAGTAATGGATGTCAGAAATCTCTGCCGGAAGCATTCATTAGCGACCACGTGTGCGCACAGCTAACACTTCCATCTCGCCTATGATTGACAGCGCTCCATGGCGAGAAAAACAAGCGCCATACTTTAATATTTAAATTTCTGAATTATTTCAGCATGATGTAGAGTAGGCTAACGCCCTTATAGAGAACAAATGTTTAAGACGTAAATGATATTATAACGTCGGCTGGGGTGCGCAGTAGGAAAAACGCGGATCCGCGTAGTTGGTGCAAAAAGGCAGCAAACCGTTTCCACGGGCGTTTTCTCCACTGCCGCACAAAAAAGAATGTCGTAATAAATTTTATTTTAAATAATTGCCATGAGATTCCATTGCCACTATTGAGATTCATTTATAGTGATGTAGTGAGGGCCAGAGAGATAAGGATTAGATAGATATGTAGTAAGATGGATTAATAGATGAATAGATAGATAGATTAATAGATAGATAGATAGACAGATAGATAGATAGATAGATAGATAGATAGATAGATAGATAGATAGATA